GCTACACAGTATTCTACAGACGGCCACTCCGGAGCTCGTCTCCTGCTGGACCGTTGGGCCTCCAGCGTTTCCACGACAAAGGCTGCAGAGATGCACGTCTGCGTGGGTATCCGCGCTCGTCCAATCGTGTCCTCAGGATCTGCCTCCGGGAGGGAGTCGCGGGCTCGCCTGGGGCTTCAACGCCGTCCCCGAGGGAACTTCGCAAAGTCTGCGTCCACGCCACACCCACGCTCGCGGGTCAGGGTCCCCCTCACGCCTTTGTCGCGGCATTATTAGTGCTACTATTCGTTTCGTATTTGGATATAGGAAGCATTTTGAATTTCTTTTCTGCCAGGGAGGTCGATCGTTTCAAAAACCTCTGGGAGGGGTAATTTACACACCGTAAAATTCAGCCAATGTCACGGTTCCACCCCATGACCTTAGTGACCCCACAGCGGTGCCACCGCCTGCATCTGGAACGTTTCCATCGCCCTAGAACGCTCCCTCGTCCCCATTTACGGCGCATCGCGTCCTGGGCCACCCCCGTTCCGCCTCCTGTTCCTGTCTCTACCTTGCCCAGCGCGCCGTGGAAGTGGAGCCACACGACGGCAGGCTTTTGCGCCTGGCTCCTTCCTCACACGGTGTGTTTCAAGGGGTCTGTGAGCCGTCAGCGCTTCGGCCCTGACCTCCGTCTCTTCACGCCCCTCTGCAGTTTTCTCAGGAGCTGGCTGCTGCCCGGGCTGGGGGCCGTTTTCGATTGGGGCACTGGGGGGCCTCGCGGGGGACCCACGCCCCGTCCTATAAAATACAGAGTCCCGGCAGCCCTGGGGAGAAGGGCTCCTCCTGCGTTTCCAGATCTGGGGCCACGGGAGACAGTTCCTTGCTCGGGCCAGGCTTCCGCTGCCACGCTCAGCGCAGGGCTGTGACCGGGCACTGAGGGGTAACCGGCGGGACCCATGAGGCTTCCCGAGGGTCGTCACTTCTCATTTAGTCTCTAAAAGTGTTACATTCCTCCTTCGAAGCTGGTTTTCCTTTTCCGTAGCAGAAACGGGCCCTTGCTGCGGCACGGAAGCGTGCGAACGAGCGGCGTTGCCCGTCTGCGGCATGGCTCTCGGTGGCTTGTCCTCGGCACCAAGAGCGCTGGAACACGCCCTTCCTCATCCCTGAAAGTCGACAGCGAGCCCCTTGACAGCTGAACGGTGTTCTTTCATCTCTGCAGCACGTGGCCGCGGCGGCCCCGCCGCAACCCTCGACGGGGCAGCGCAGCAGGGCCCGGCTGGGCGCTCGGGCAGTGTTTAGGGACAAGGGGCCGCCGGCCCGGCCGGGCGCTCGGCTCTGTGCACTCGGCACAGGGCGCACCCGTGAGCCCGTGCTGCCGACCGGCGCCGCCTGACCCCGGCCGAACCCTTCTCTCTTTTTGAGACGTCGGACAAAATCATAAAATCGCAACGAGCTTTGCGTTTTCCATTCAAGTGGAACCTGCTTCATCTGGGAACTGACCGACCAGACGAGCATGTACTCAGCGCCCACTGTGACCAGACAGGGCTGGCCCCCCAGGTCCAGGAAGGGCCCAGGGCGGAGGAGTGGGGGGGCGGTTCCCACTCCCTGGCACCTCCAGGCTTCCCGCCCGAGCGCGCGAGGCGGGTGGGCGGCTTCTATCCCCTGGCAAGGCAGCCGGATTCGGTCACTGCGGGAGAGGGAACCCCAGAGAAGCGAGGTAGGGGACGGGACTGGGCTGAGGCGAGGCAGAGGTGAACGTGCACCGCCTTCATCGGCCCTGGAGGGCGGAGGCCCCAGGCCCTTGGCCCGCAGCTCGGCTCCCGTTCTGCCAAGCGTCCCGTTCCTTCTGGAAGCCTCTCCCAGGGAGAGGCCACCACGGTGCACGGTCCCCAAGGGAAGCTCCGTCAGGTCTGGTGAACAGCAGAGAGCCTCGCCCTTTCTCCAGGACCGGCCCGAGGGGACGAGGCGGTCCCATGACTGACTTGGTGGGACGGCTGCGGAGCCCCCCGAGGAGCCCGACTGTGAGGACCAGCGCCAGCTCCCCGTGGTGCTGGGGGCCGGGGGGCCGGGGGTGAGGCCCTGGCGTTTCCCGGCCGGACAATTAAACACAGTCCAGGGTTGTTTTTCTTCAACATAATTTTGATTGAATCTCTTTTATATTAAAAAAAACAACAGATTACATTTCAGAGGACACTGTTTAGGTTACGAGGTTCCCGTCAGAGCGGTTTTGCAACACATGTTTACAGGATCTGAAGCACATCCCCGGGGACCAGCTGGCTGGGGCACTTTCCACTCAAGACCCAGGCTGAGGTCGGGGGCTATTGTTTAGGTGTCAGCTCGGCTTGGACTTTGTTTCGGACGTTGGGGTTGGGATGAGAAAACCAACCACCACCAGATTCTAGGCAGCAAGAGGTTAGGGCTTTGTGAGGAAAACACACAGCATCTGTATCCCTGCCCTTCCTAATGAGCTCGAACATTTGATGTGTGGAAGACCAGCATTTAAAAAAGCCTTGGAGAGACGAGGATGGGATCTGGCTGTCCTGCCCGACGTGGTACTAACCGTTCCCCTACAGACTGCTGTCGCGGCAGAGCCACAGGGCGGGTCACACGGCGTTCACGGTGCCGACGCAGTAATGCTTGGGACGCAGGGGCAGTTAGATGCTTCTCGTGAAACTCGCCTTAGACGAAATTTGCCGAAAGGAAGGCAATTACGTTGAGTGAGACCCCTTGGGAAGGTCCTGAACTTCCGGGCGGTTATCAGGAGAAGCAGGAGTGTGGTCCTCGCGGCCCCCGTGCCCGCGGAGCCCCCGACCCCGAGGCCCCTCCTCCTTCGCTAACCATCCGTGCGGCACGTTGAGCTCTCTCTGCACAGCTCCTCGGCCAGACCAGGAGCTCCTTTAGGATGTGAATGTCTGACACGCCTTTGTGTTCCCCAAAGGGCTGAACACAGTTTACTTAAATATTCATGGAAGTAAGTCAAAATGCAGATATAAATTCTCTTAACAAACTCCAAATAGAAACAAAAAACTCTCTCTATAGTAGTGATATTGTGTTTGCAAAATACACTTAATGTAAATAAAGTATTTCTCTTTAGTATAGTCCCTTTTGTGGGTTAATTTGTTCTTTACTGCAATGTAATTTTGGATGTGATGACAAAGCTGGTTTTGGATGATCATCCGAAGGTGTCAAATGTCAAAGGACATCCCCTTGTCTTTTCTGACTTAGTGTTAGCGCACAGCTATTCATCCGGAGCCTTTCTAAGGACGACTTCCCTAAAAAAACCCATTTTTAATTTTATAATGCTCTTGGTTGCAGGTTAAATAAGCTCAATTCAAAGAAACTGAAGTTAACCACATCAGAGCAAAAAGTGGAAGGAATTTAATTAGAAAACCCAGAGATGTGAGTAGAGAGAGTAAAATGGACTCCAGTGGGGTCCGAGCGAGTTCACATCACGTCACACTCACGGGTGAGCTGGCACATGCGCCACTCAACGTCTCTGACCGAGAGAAACAGCAGCCGGTGGGGCCGAAACTAGATGGCAAAGCCCTCCAGCCTACGTCCGAGCGGGGTGCTGGGAGTTCTGAGTTACTGTCTTTTATAGAAGCCAATAGGCAAATACCCACATTGCCGTGTAGTGTAGTACATAATACATTCAGTGTCCTAGTCACTTTGATCATGAAATGGGCAAAAATATATCAAGTCATTTTTCCATGTGTTCAAACATTCGAGCATATTGAACAGAGACGATGAAAACTCCACTTCAAGTTTCTAGAGATGAGAGGGCAGCGAGGGGTGAACAGATATTAAGCCTAGAAGACGCCCCAAGCAGGCTCCTAGCGCTGGACTCCTAGGTCTCCAACGGAACCAACTCTGAGGCCATGAAGACACCACTGAGAGAGAGAGGTGGCGGGGGCGGGTGGACAGGGGCGCGGTCTCGACGCGCCACACTCCCGGGCACCCAACGCGGAGGTTTCTAAGTAACCCACCTGCTACCAGCCGCAGACAAACACTCCTGAGAGGGTCCCCGTCACTCCGTGTCGCTGAGTTCTAAGGCTACTTAGTGCCTGTTAAGGTTTGTAGAGAAGAAATGACATAACACCCAAGCCTGGCTTTAATTATTTCGGTGGAAAAGGGAGGAAGGGGACAGGCAAAGCGAACTCAGCAGCCTCGTTGTGGCCAAATCTCGAGGCTGGGTGCTGTGGGGTTGTTAGCATCTTATTAGTATCACTCTGTGAATGATGAATAAGCGTATTATTTTCTCTTCCTCTGTGTTTGCCCGAGGAGGGTCACAGGAGCCTTTCACAGGAGCTTCAGGAAATGAGCTCCTCCCTGTAAATCTGCGCCTGTGGGCAGGACTGAGCGCCCGCGGGAGTAGCTTCTGGCTGCTCCTGAGCCCGGGGCTCCTTGCTGACTAAGGCAGCGACTTCACCATTGTTCTCCAAGGGAGGGAAGAACATGAATCTACACGCCGCCCTGGCGGCAGGATGTGCATGAACACAGTGTGGTTTCCGGTGTTAGCCAGGAATTAGAGAAATCTAGCTTTTCTGTGGAACGAGGAGGTTGTATCAAAGAGAAGACACGGACTTTGATTCTGGTTCACCTTCTAGTTTGAACAAAAAAGGGGAGGCTGTCGATTCCAAGAATTCAGGCTCCCTAACCCTTGTGTCAGAGCCACGGAGTTTTCTTGGGGCATCTGGCCTCTCCCTGCCAGTACTGAGGCCGTACCTCACGCAGGACCGGCCTTTTCCCGGGCGGCGGACCCGCCTCACCGGAGAACATGCCGGGAGGGAGCCCTCGGCGCCCTTCCGCCACTCCCTGCTCCCGGGGCCTCACGTTGCCCTCAGCCAGGCTTCCCGCGCCCTTCCCCACGGGGCCCTCCCCCCAACCCCGCCCCCTGGCTCTGTGGGGGCAACCATACCCGACCCTATACAAAGTCTGGCTGGAGAACTACAGTTTTGACCTAAGTCCCTGGTACTGGATTGGAAACACAAGCAAAGTCAGACAGCAGCCAACTCTGTTTGTTCATTTATTTTGCATAATTTTCATGACCATGGGGCCTGTGGCGATGCCTTTCTTCCTCCCCTTCTCTCAGACAGAGATCGAGGGCATGGTTAGAAGTTCACTCTATTAACACCAGCGTCGGGGAGATGTCTTTTTAAAAATGAGGTATTTGGTTGACTGTCCCCAACCCCAGAGGTCTGGGGATATGGCAAGAGTGGTCTAGCAGGTAACACAAAGCAGGCGGACACGCTGGAGGAGGAGCAGAAACAGAACCTGGCGAAGCGTGGCCGCGCGACACCCTGAGGACCTTTATTGTGGCAGATGCGCCCGCCCACCATGCGCCAAAAAGCAAAACACAGCCCACGCCTCCCAAGGCAGACAGCCCGCGCGGGACAGAAGCGAGAACAGGGGCAGCAGCGAGGGGCTGTGGGAGGCGCTGGGGGGGCGTTCTCACGGCCCGATCCACCCACAGCCGCGGGTGAGCGGATGGCTATCTCCCTCGTCTCCAGTTCTCTCCAGAACACATTTCCAACCATGGCCACAGCAGCCTCTCCCAGCGAGGTGGCGTGGCTGCTGTCGCGGTTCCAGGTGCCGCGGGAGACCTCGTGAGGACGGGGGAGGATTTCACATAAAAAACTGGGCGGCCAGGTTGGCCAGGCCCAGGACGATGATGACCGCGTGGGAGAGGAGCGCGGGCCACGTCAGCCGGCCCTCCTGGCGGAGGGCGAGGATGTAGGTGAGCGCCGGGTAGATGAACACGAAGGCCAGGCCGCAGGCGGCGCCCGAGTACCTGCAGGGAAAGCGATCTGAGCTCATCTCCGCCCGCGTTCTGCTTTTTCTCATGCACAAGTAAGACGAGTGCAGTGCAAGTGAACCCTCCTCGGTCTGGGAGAACAAAACTATCTGACTCCCTTCCTGCCGACATAAATAAAGCAACTCATTTTACTTGCTAACTTAACAGACAGCGTCATTTCCTGTTCATCTTTAAGGCATCTGCTCGACAAAAAGCCTTTCATTCCTCCCCCAAGTCTCCATCGTTCCTGAGTCTCCGTGGCCGAGGCCGCATCCCCAGGCACATCTGGGGACCGGCCCTGCTCCCCCTTTGATGTTTTAGGAGCCGCCGGTGCACCCGAGCAGCGGAAGGACGGCCAGCATCTGCTGGGCGAGGAGGACCGCGCGCCCCCGCGGTCAGCCTGAACACCGCGGACGCACAGCCCTCCCCGCCCCGGGAGCGGCCTGCTCGGGACGTGGGTGCCCCACGCCCCGTGAGCCTCGGCGTCTGCCGCCGTCTCAGGGGAGGCTGGCTCCTCGCTGCAGGGCTCCGCCCTGCTTTCCAGGGGTTCCGGAGCTCGTGGGGACCCGGAGTTCCCTGAGACTCCGAGGTCACGACCCCACCCCCAGCCTGCTCCTCGCTCTCTCCAACGCCGCACGGCTCTTGGAGGGAGGCTATTAAGGGCAGGGCCACCTGGGGTCCGAACTCTTCCCTTCCCACGGCAGCCGGTGCTGCAATACGTTCTCGAGCAGGAACGGATTAGGGAGATCAGGATGCAGCCTTGACATGTGGGAGACCTCCCAGGCACCCCAAGAAGTTCTATATTACTTACTAAATAGACGTTTGTATTTCGGGTAAGAAGAGAGGAATACAGTAGAAAACAATGAGATGAAGGGAAAAAAGAGAGGAACAGGTGCCCCGAGCTAAGGGATAAGGGCGCGCCCAGTTAGAACCACGCGTCAGCGGAGACAGCGGGCCCCCAGCCGATGCCAGGGAAGGCCACCTGCGTGCCACTGGCCTCAAACTCCGACGTTCTGCGCAGCTAAGTCACAGCAGCAACGACAGCAACCGGAAGCGCAGGAAGGGTCCCCCTGGGAGGGGCAGGGCCCTCACGGCCGCCGTACCTGATGATGCCTCCGATGTTGGGGTAGAAACAGGCCATGACCACTCCGGCTCCCACAATCATCAGGTTAAGAACCAGCACATGGAAGATGCTAGAAGTTGATGAGAGAGTTTGGAGGAAAGAAAAAATATAAATACAGGCAAATCAGAACCATTAATATGAGGATACGATTCTTTATGAACATCTTTAATGCCAGAATGTCCTACGCTTGACACTTGAATCACAGCAGAGAGAGGGGGTGGCGGCAGGCAGGGCTGGGGATGGGCCCACGGCTGCGCTCTGCTGCGAAGGGGTCCCTTTACAGGAGCTGCCCGGGGGGCCTGTGTTGGGGTTCGCGCACCTGGGCCTCCAGCTCCACTCAGAGCGCCTTAGAAAGTAGTCAGATCTTGAAAAACCTATTATCGTAAAGATACTCATGAAAAAGCAGAAGTATCCTAGACATACAGCAAGGTAACAATTTACATGATGGAAAATATTAAAAATTATTAAAAACACTTGTTGTTACCCACATGGCAAAACTCTATCTGGGCAACTTGGGAAAAAGCTGGTTAGAGTCTAAACAGGAGAATCGGAAAACACTTGAAAAATTTCAGGAGGAAAGACACTAAAAAGACAGTAGTGATGGTGTTAAGATTTGGGGTAATTTTTTTTCTTTTCTATATTTCACAATTTTTAAAGGTGCTTATTTTACTTTTATAATTAGATAAATCAAGGAATAGGCAAAATGAGGTTTTTATTTTTCAGATTCAGCCACGAAAGGCTCCTCCGTCTTTTCAATGAACAGAACTACTAAATCCTTAAACTAGACGTTAATAATTCAAGGTCTGGGAATCAATTTGGACACAAATAAAAATAAAGTAGATGAAACCTGATGCTCAGGAAATAACCCCCTTTTCAAGGACATGGCCCCTAAAAGCCGAACGGACACAGGGAAGTGCCGCTGGAGCCCAAACTGTCAACGGCGAATCCATCCCAGGTAAAGATTACAAAGAGAATTAAAAACAAAAATTATTTACACAAGCAAGTGGTTAGTCATACACCCTGGTGAACTACGAAAACACCCAGGGCTCCAAGCCTCACTGCCTCCCCGCAACCCCAGCCTCGGCGTCCTCGGGGCCCGGGCCTGTGCTGCTCCTGCGCTGGGAGAGGGAGCAGCCTCCTGCATCTCCCAGAGCCGTGGCTCCCCGAGCGTAACCCCAGCCCCGGGGCAGTGCCCGACACCCCCCCTGGTCCCCGGGGGCACGGCCACACCAGGTGTTACTGGCCGCTCCGCAAAGGCTACGTGGGCACAGTCACGGCCTGTAGCGCACGTGGCGGCGGCAGCGGAGCGCGACCTCACCTGGGCGCGTCAGGGCCACACACGCCCCCACGACGTGGCTCAGAACCGCCCTCCACGAAGGAGCCAACGCTACCAGCCTGCTGCCCCTCAGGCGTGGGACACCAACAGCGAGTGCAGCGCAGTACACGCCTGCCGGGCTCCAAGGCTGGGGCTGTCGGGGAAGCTCTAGGCTGCGCCGCTGGGCGCCCAGCCCTCTGCCCCAGGGACGCTGTTTTCACTGAAGGGTGGAGAGAGATGGCCCTTCAGCCTTGGGCATCTGACATTTTCTTGCAAACGAGTGACACCTGCCATTCCAAGGAAAACAAATGGTGGTGTATGTGGTCGACGATAAGACTGGAGCTTTCAAGCGAAATAAGAATTTTGGAGACCTTGTAATTGCTCCCCTGTGCTCGCTGGTTTCCCAGTATTTAAAGACATAATGAAATCGATGAGAATATGAACAAATGTGTGTCTTGACACTGTATAATGACATGTGTCAACATTTGGAAGCGCCTCAGAACTCAGCGAACCAGTGTGTTCCAAATGACTAAACATGAAGTTACACAAAACCATGCGTGGGGGAAAAAGCCAAAGTGTCGGACAGATCGACGGGTTTTAATGTAACTGAGCTTCAGATTTAACTGATTTTTAAGGAACAAGCACTTGACAAGGTTTGGCTGAGTATCAAAGAAGAAATCCACAATGACCTGAAGGGCTACGAAAGTGCTCCTTTTCCCAACTAGGCGTCTATGTGAAGGGGGCGCATTGTTCACACACTTAAATAAAGACAACATATGACAGCAGTTTGAATGCAGAAGATAAAAGAATCCAATTACCACAAATCAGACGTTAAAGAGTTTTCAAAATATACAAGTTACTTTGGAAATAGTTATTCGTGAATGTTATTTATGTTAACAAGTAATGGTTTTATTATTGCTTTTAAAAAAAATGAATACTTTTAAAATTCCTGGCTTTAATTTTTTACATGTTTGATATTGACAGACACACACTAAAGCCCCTGGGGTCCGCAATAAGCTTTCGGAGTGTCACGGGGTCGCAGGACCAAAAAGCACGCCCCGAGGGACGCAGCCTGCAGGCTGCTCGTGGCCGGAGGGGGCGGCGGCGTGTGTTCCGTGGTGGGGGAGGGGACGCCACCGAGGGGAACGCAGGGGAAAGCCCGGGCTTTTCCCAAGAAGAAAAACATTCTAACGGCCACCATCGTGCATGACGACGGCAGAGGACGGGAACCGCGCTGTCACCGAGCGCGCGTCCATCTGTGACTTCACGGCGCCCCGTCTACCCCGGTGAAGGCGGAGGCCGCACGGGTGGCGACCCGGGGCGCCGTCCACTCGCCCGCACCGGTCTCTGGCTGAGCCACACCGGCACCACGGCGGCTGCTGCTGCAGTCGCTGCCGGAGACTGGGACTCTGGACTTCAGTTTGAACTGTTTATGGCTTTTAAACCAACACATTTATAACTATTTATTTATTTAATGGGGGACAGACGGTGTCCATTCACTTCAAAGAAGAAGTGATTAAGATCATTTGTTTGTTGGTTACTGTCAATGTAACTTTTTTCAAACTTTATCCAAAAGTTGTCTTCATCTAAGATCATTTATTACCAATGAAATAGGTTAGGACTAGGAAAAGTAAGAAAAGTTACCACTCTTCGTCGCGAGGAATCTCTAATAAAACTGGCTGCGAGAGCTGGAGCCAGCGGGCCCCCCGGACGTTTCGGGGGGCCTGGCGCGGCACGTGGCCACACCTCCCGGCTGAGGGGCACTCGCGCCCCCTCCGCCGCCAGCAAGAGACGGACCAGCACGGCGTCACTGCGGCAGTCCCAGGGGCAGGGCCTCTGCTCAAATCTCGGGTCGCGTCTTCTGACGGGCCAACTACCACTCATGTGGGAACGCGGGAATGTCCGTCAACAGACAAGTAACCAGCGAGTCCCAGGACCACTGACTCAAATGAAAGAGCTGCTTCTCTTTAGCTAACGCAGGGTCTTTATATGAGTAGCTTCTGGCAAGGTGAGGACTAACAGCAACCAACCCGTACGATGGACAGCTGGCATCGGACCTGGTGTAACTCTGCCGGTGGGACAGGCTGTAACTAACCCTGGGCTGGAAGTGCCTTCTGTTTGTGAGGCCTCCAGGGGAAAGAACAGCAATGACTTGTCCCTGGTAACCATGTTCATGGGGCATATTTTATAGCAACGGGAGCAGTCACATTTCCAGACGACCTGTTTGCCCCATCGCCGGTGGCTCGGCACGTCGTGCTGGCCTGGAGAAGAGCCCTCACCTGGGATACACGTCCCCGAAGACTTGGCCCAGGAGCTGGACGCGCGCCAAGTAGCCCAGGAGTGGGTACACGGTCATCATCTGGAACAGCAGGAAGATCCTCGCAATGAAAGACAGGATGTCGCTGCTGGGGAAGTTGTCTAAGAAATTCTGACCCGAGAGAGAGAGAGAGAGAGAGAGAGAGAGAGAGAGAGAATGAGAACGGAGTCGTGTTAAAATGTGAATTCAGTGCACGCCCCTCAGGAGGCGGGATGCCCCCGCCCGCTGTGAGCCGGGGCCCTGTGAGCCGGGGCCCACGCCGCGCCCTGCGGACGGGCGGCCTCTGTGGGGCGCGGCGTTCGGACCCGGGCAGGGTCAGCCACGTCCACAGACGGCCTTGCACTCCGGCTCACAGGAGGGTCAGCCTGCCGCTGGCTTGACATGCAAACAACGAGGCCTGTCCTCTACCAGGGACAGTGGGGCGCTCTGCTCTGCAAGGGCCCCATGACAGTCTGTCCGAACGTGTCCACGTGCGCTCACGGGCTGCTGTCCCCCTCGCGAGCCCTGGCGCTCGGAGGCCTTTCCAAGTCACCACGACAGAGCCTCTCTGTCCCCAGGATCCTCACTACTTACAGTCCATCACTGAGTAGAAAGGGATTTGTTTCTATTTCCTTTCGTGAGTCTTTCCTCCATTTTAGCTTGGCATCTACAGAATAGGTAATCACTCATTTTCCCCCACTTTTGAAATAAAATACCACAGCTATTCCTATTCCCAAGGGAGTGGGCTTGACGTGGGATTGTCCATGCCGGGGAATTTTCAGCAAACGTTCAGCTGCCAAAGAACTTCTGGAATGAAGGAACCCAGAGAGGCCATTCCTGGCTGCCAACCAACTTCTCCACAAAAGCGAGGGCAACGGTCACTCTGCGGGGCTGAAGGAGCCTCTGTCCCGCTCCTGGGGGCAGTCACGCTGTCTGCTCCACGACACTCTCCCAGGGGAGCTTCTTTCTGACCAGAAATCGGGTCCCCTGGGAAAAGCTACTGCTTTGGGGTTTTTTTTTTGGTGAGAAATTCTGCAGTCATACTAGACTCCAGAATGTTCTATGGCTAAGTTCCCAATGGCTCAAGTCAGGGAAAATCTTACTTACGGCAACCTCTTAGTAAAAAAAGTCTCTTGTACTCCGTCCGTCTCTCTGCCTGGTTTGCTGCCCGTCAGCAGGGCATGCTAGCCTTGAAGGGACACCTGGGGCCGGGGCTCCAGAGCCCTCGGGAGCCGAATGTGCCCTCGGCAGAGGGGCGTGACAAGGGCCCTTGATCGGAGTCACAGGTGCCAGCGGGAGGCGGGTTTCCTCCAAGAGCCCAACGGACAGCCTCCGGGAGAGCGCGCAGCTCAGGGAGTCTCGGGGTGGGCAGGGCTGAGTGCCCGGGGCGAGGGGGCGGTGGCGGCAGCGGCGCAAACGTGCTGGGGCGTCCCCGGCGGGCGGGGTGGGGGCAGATGCGGGGCCAGGGCCCACGCACGGGGCCGGGGAGGCGTGCAGAGCCTCACCTGCGCGATGCATCCTTTAGGGAGCGGTGGTGAAGGGAACGAAGCAAACACCAGGACTCCGATGTAGAGGTAGGTCAGCGTCACCAGCAGGTAGGCGATGGACAGGTCCCTCACCTGCGGGGAGCAGAGCGTCCTCAGCGCGCGGCCCGCCTGCAGCGGGCTGTCCGAGCAGGGGGCGCGCACGCCGCTCCTCTCTGGCCGCATGTGTATTGTGTGCACATGGGCCTCCTGTTCTCAGAAAGTAACCAGAACCAAACTCGCAGCCCTATGAGTTAGCCTGGCCGCACGTTCACTGTTCCAGAGCACGCAGGCCGAGCGACCTACTGGCCACCTTAGAAGCTAACAGGAGAGGTGGTGTAACACAATGGGAACACTGGCTTGACTTCAAACCTAATTTATTTACCAACTTTTAAAATGTTTAACTAAAATAATAGAGTTAAGGGATAACAAGAAGTCAAGGCTAAGCCACCTATGACCTATGGAATTCAAAATTCTTCCTTTTAGTAAATTAAGTTAAACCTTCAAAGCATGCCTAGACCAAAAGAGGCTGCTACGTAATAAAATATATTAAATGAAGGAGAGAGGCTACTTAAAGAGCAGACAGTAAGCAGGCACTGAAGACAAGCTTCGTACACCTAAACAGCAAACAAAAGGAAATCAGAAGGCAGCTGTTCCCACAGCCGCACAGAGCTGTTGCCAGAACCAGCAAACACACGCAGAGCATCGCGTGAAGTGGGTCGCTCTCCTCCAGGGTGGCCCTCGCCCCGCCTCCTCCGAGCGAAGTCGAAGGCCCCAGGATGTTGAGGGCGGCCGGCTGTCGGTCCCCACAGCACAGGCCCCGCGGCTCACCAGGCTGGTGTCCGTCAGCACTCAAGTGATGGCCAAACAGTTCCGTACAACTCGATTATGGCAAAGGACAACTCATTTTTCATTTCAAACACAAACTGCTTTGCCAGCTAAGAAAACAGATAAAGAAAAATTATATACAATTTTGCTTTGGTTTGATAGCACGGTAACTGGACATTTGGTATTAGGGAGCGTTTCTGATTTTTGGACACACTTCTTTCTTAAATGAGCTAAAGCAACAGCAGAGAGTTATAAACTTGAGTGCTGATAAATTCACTTAAAAGCCAAGTAACACACAGTGGGGCCTGAGCGGACATCCAGCTGGAAAACCAACCCGGGGTCCCCTCCCGAGGCCCGGCGGCGTCCGTGGCGGGTGGCTGGGCCTTCCCAAAGCGCCCGGGCCCAGGGCGGAGCACAGAGGGGCTGACCGCACCCCCGCGGGCTTCAAAGGCCATGGGGCTCCGGGCTCACCCCTGACCGGCCTCGTGGGCTTGCGCGGCACCCACAGAAGTGAACCGCACGCCTCTTGCTTTCCCACCCAAGGGGGGTGGTCTCAGGTTGCAAAGCTTCGAGGTCAGCCCCCCGCAGCCCGCTCAGTGCCACTCCGGGACAGGGCAGTCCTATGAAACGCAAGGCCTGGGGGCCAGGCGGCTGGGTCGCAGTGAGCTCCGCAGGGAAGGGACAGCGGCCACCGCCCGGCAGCCTTTACCCTGGCGGCCCCAGGTCGCCGCCTCCCCTGGGCCAGGCTTCCTGCAGAGACGCGCCCCTTGGCTCGCCCGGGGGTAAATCTGGTGGAGGGGAGCGGGCTGACGCGCAAGGGCTGCCCAGTAAGGTGCGCCCCGCCCCAGCCGGGCAGCACTGCACGGCTGCCGGGGCTGCAGTGTCAGGACAGGTAACTCTGAGAGGCCCCGCGAGAGGCGGCCCCGTGCTGAGGGCTCTAGGGCCGGTCACTTCACAGGAACTGTCGGTGACCCCTATTAAAAAAGCAATCCACATTCACGTGGCGGGTCTCACGTGGGAAGAAAACGCCCCTGACACCCTTAAAGTGCCCCCGGTGAATAATTCTTAGGTATTTCCATGGTTCTGCAGTGCGGCTGGCCCGCACCACCGGCCCGGGAGGCCCTGGAGAGAGGGCCGGGCCCCTCCCGGCTCTGTGCCTGCGATCCGCCGGCACCCAGGAGGCGCTCAGTCAGCGAGGCAGACAACGGGCGCCGGCTGCGATCGCTGGGGGCCGCTCGGCGCAGAGCTCCCCCGGACGGGGGTGCGGTCGTTTCCGCCGCCTCACCGGCGAGCGAGTTAGCGCACGGAGGCTCCGGGACTCCTGCTGCTCCCAGGGGACAGGCGGCGAAGGCAACAGCGAGCCCGTCCTCCTGGCCCCGGACTGCACGCCCCGAGCTCCTGGGAGGGGGACCCTCCGGTCTCCAAAGCACCGTGCCCCAGACAATGAACAACAGCCAAGAGAACAGTCAAGAGCTAACAGTTATGAATGACAACGGAGACAGCTGAGCACACTTAAAGACGCAAGAGAAACACTAACATCAAAGCTCTATCTCATAGCAGCCCGAAAGCACCTTCAGTAGAGTGAGGTCAGGAGCTGCCTATCTGTTCCCACCTGAAAAACACCCTAATGAACAGAAGGGCTACTTTAATATCGAAGCAGCTGCAGGTCAGCATGATCCTGGGCAACTGGGAGCAGCACACGCACACGCACACGCACAGGCACACGCGGGCCTGGCTGCGCCCTGGCTCCCTCGCAAGCCGTCCCCGAGCTGGGCCAGGACACGCAGCCTCTTCAAAGGCCACGTCATGGGAAACAGCAGGAGAGGCTGCCCCTTAGAACACGAGGCTCCGGGTAAAGTATCTATTTAAGAAGAGGCACAAGCGACGATCTGAAGTGTGGTGCGTGGAGAGTCCCTCCCACAGAGGAGGTCTGTCCCCTGCGTCCGGCGTGAGCATGGGGTGGGGCGGGAGGCGGGGGCGCAGAGGGTTGGCAGGAATGTCCGCTCAGAGCCAGCAGCACACAGGGCCAGGGGCACGTCCTGCTTCCCGGGCCTGGCTTCTCATCTGTCCCACGTCCCACGCACAGGGAAAACCCTGTCCAGGGCAGATATGACTCAGAGCGACGAGGGCACTGACCTCCTGGACCCCCCCAACACCTATATGAAAACCTCCGCTGAGGCTCGGGCGCCTGCCCACCCAGATTCAGAGCAAGAAGTGAAAAGTAAGTGAATTAGGACATGAAGTGTTTCGCCTTGTTTTTAAAGAGCAAAGCAGGGTATAAAACCACAGACAACCCAACCAAGGAAGGCCCTGTCTGGTTTCGGATCTGGAGTGGACTGGGCTGATCCCCTCCTGGCCGAGCAGCGGTTCCATTTCCGACTTCAGGGGCGGGGGTCCCTCTGCAGGGCCAGACGAGGCGGGACAATGCCAGGACCCCCAAAGACGCCGTGGCCACCACTGCATGGCTCGGCCGGGCCTTGCTCCCGCCGCCTGGCTGCTCGCGCTCAGGGGAACAGGCGGGCTGGGGGCGGGTGCCGGCGCCATCAGACACGGAGGAGCGGCTCTCCGCGCGCCACCCAAAGGGGCAGGTCCGGCCTCTGAGAGGCCCCGCGAGAGGCGGCCCCCGTGCTGAGGGCTCTAGGGCCAGTTACTTCATGGGAAGAGAGTGAACTTTGACTCAGTGCTGACTCCACTCCGAGGTACGAAGCTGTGCGTATGCTACCAGGTAGCAGAAAAGACACACATTTTTGGCCTCATTTGAGAGCTAACTTCCTTCTACTCAGGAAGACTTGTTCTGCCTTCATTAACGACTTTGCCAGCCATTCCCTGGAACTGCCTCAGAGTCCCCACACCCAGGGGGTGCGCCCGTCCTTGGTACTTCACCAACAGCGGCGCACGCCTCCGTTAGAGCTGCACCATGACTTCTGTCTGCATGCTTATAAGCTGTCGACTTACGTCCAAAATCTGCAGACAAGGCCACAAAGAGCTGGATGACATGCTTGTGTGGGTTTAGTTTGCTCTCCTCCTTCCAGTGTGTCAGTTAGAAGGTGAGGTTACTGACATTAGACCTTGCTTGAGGCAGGTGTTTACAGCTATAGATTTCCCTCTAAGCACTGCTTTAGCTGCATCCTATAAATTCCGATATGTTTTGTCTTCATTTTCAATAATCTCTAAGTATTTTCTTTTTTTTTTTCTTGTAATTTCCCTTCGGCCCATTGGTATAAGAATATGTTGTTTAATTTTCACCCATTTGTCAATTTCCAAAATTTCTTTCTTTTATTGATGTCTAACTTCACTGTGGTCAAAGAAATACTTGGCATGAATTCAGTCCTTGTAAATTTATCGAGACTTGTTCACTACATGGTCGATCTCGCTAAATGTTCCTGCGTGTCTGAAACAAAGCCCTTCCTGCTGGTGTCTGAGAGGAGACTTTTATAGATGTCAATCAGATCAAGTGGGTTGATAGTGTTTTTTGGATGTTCTGTATCCTCACTTATGTTCTATTTGTTCTATCAGTTATTAAGGGAGGGGTCACGAAATCTCCCATTGTAATTGTGGATTTGGCCATTTCTCCTTTCAGTTTGGACATGGCATTGGGAAGCTCTGCCGCGGGGTGCACACAGATCTAGAATTATTACCTCTTCTTGATGAATCGATCCCTAACGATCATTATGTAACGCACCTCTCTATTTCGGCAATACTCATCGTTCTGAAGTCTGCCTTGACATTAAACCAACCACTCTACTGTTTTCTGTTCAGTGCCTTTATGGCGTATCTTTATATTTAAGGTAAGTTCCTTACAGGGGGCATATACTGTAGTTAGGTTTTCTTTTCTTAATCAGTCTGACAATGCCTATGTTTTAACTGCAGTATTTAGACCACTTTATTCAAGGTAATTATCAATATCATTGGGTTTAAGTCTATTATCTTGCCATTTGCTTTCTATCTGTCCCATGAATTCTTTGTTTCCCCTTTCCTTTTAGGCCACCTCGGTATTTTTACAGAGGCAGTCGCCGCTGTTGGCTCCCGGCCATGCATCTATGTTTCAGGGTTCGCTCAAGGAGGGGCTGGGGACCTGCGGCCACCGCTGAAACCAGCCGGCTCTCTGTTGCAGTAAATACAGTTTGCTTGAAACAGAGCCACCAGCGTTTGTTTACACGTTGTCCATGGCTACTCAATGCCACACCAGCGGCCTTGGCGGTTGTCACCAAGATCACATGTCCTGCAAGGCTTCAAATATTTACATCTGCACCTTTACAGAGAGTTTGCCAACCACTGCATTATGGCTTAAATTTAAAAATTAAGACCCGGTAACAAAAATCAATTCCTCAGATAATTACTCACATTGTTCTCTTGGTTCCTGTTGTTCTTTAAGAGTGTGATAATACAATTATGAATAAAGAAAGCAAGGGTAAGCACTCCAGTCAACTGTGGAAACTGAAATCTTATCTCTAGGAGAAAAAGAGAAGGGGGAAAACCACATTAAAACTGACAACTAGAAAGTGGATATAAGCTGCCGCAAGTTGATTACTAAAAACCAGTTGTGTCTCTTTGTCTGGGAAGAAAAGGGATTAAAAGGCCTTTGCAGAGCTCCCTGAGGCCGGCACTGGGCCTGAGCAAAGCACTGGACAGGAGGAAGAGGGGATTAGGAAACGCTGGTCTGCGAGGAGACTCCGCCTCGGCCACTCCTGTCTGAGGTCACGCAGCAGCGTGCGGCAGAGCAGGATTCGGGTTACAGTGGTGAGTATGTGCAACAAGAATAAGTGTGAGTTTATTCTTGTGCTGTTACTTTATTAGTTATTGTGTTATTTTCCATACGAACACCTGCGGCCCTGCTCTGCCCCACCCTGTACCCGGCATTTCTGCCTGAGTCACGGGGCCCACGTGTGGCTGGCCAAGCAGGGCTCCAGCCCAGGGCCCGCGTGGCTCCACCGCTCCTCCTCTTCCAACGCTATGATCTGCCAGAAAAGAACCTTTCGGAAAGAAAGGAGTCATAGAAGGGAGAATGGGTCACTTAACGTTTTTAACAGCTAATCTAAAAAGCACTGCTTGAAGATACTGGAAATAAATGTCTACAGAGAAGAAAATGGCCAATATGATGAGCTGCTCAGTGATGCGCAGTGTGTGAGAGTTAATGTTCTAGGGGAAGGTCCTATGTTACGACAAACGTTCATGATTCACTTAGCACGCAGAGAATGCTGCTTTTATTTTAAACAGGGTGTGTGCGCGCGCAGAGGAAAAAGACTGGAGGAACACTCAGAAAGGCAACCAGCGGCTCCCCCCGCCAACGGATTTACTGGGTGCTAACCATCTCCCTCTGGTCCCCCGATCTACTGCAGGAACACAAGGTGTGAGGAAATAAGCACCGGAACGCGGACGGCGTCCAGGCGTCAGCCTCGCCTCCGCAGGGCCGCGGTGGAGGCCCTGGCTTCGGGAAGACGGTAACGTCATCTACACGTCATTTGTGGCCCATTCTTTTTAGAGAAACAATTGAAAAACTTTTTAGTAAGAAGTCAAAGTCATCAAATCACAAACAAAAGAAAGGAATTACAAGACAACCAGAAATCAATGGCAATAGTAAGCCCATACCTACCGGTGATGAGTTTAAATGTAAATAGATTAAATTCTCCAAAAAAAGGTGCAGAGTAGCCAAATGGATAAAAACAAAACAACAAAAAGAACAAAAAAACCCAACCAAGACCCAGCTAGATGTTGTTGACAAAGGACATTGTCAGCTTTAAGGACACCCACAGGCTGACAGTGAAGGCGTGTGAGGCTGGCAACCGTCCTCCATGGGACGGGCGCTGACAGCCACCGCTCAGGGAGGCCAGTGCACGGGGCCCTGGGCACCGTAGCCTCCGAGAAGCCCCGCCCTTCGCGCGGGTCCAGCTGCCAGTCTAACCCTTCAGGGAGGCGTATTAACGGAGGAGAATGTAGTGTGGGCAGGAGCGAGGGGCGGGGAGAGAGTTGTAACACTTTAGTTCCACAAAGAATGTGTATCTAGAATGTATAAAGAATGCTTAGAAATCAATTTAAAACATAGAAAATTGGGCAAAAGACTTGAAGAGATGCTCGACAAAGGAGGCAGCCCAAATGGTCAGGGAGCGCGTGGGAAGGGGCCGGCAAGTGCGGTGAGAGCCGCAGGCCACTCCGCCCCGCAGAGAGGACAGAGCACGAGGACAGGACCCACGGTTCCTGCGCCGGCCGCCCCCCCGCCCCCGCAGGCGCTCACCGCACGGCCGCCTACCGGCCTCTGCCCTCTGAAGCCCGCTGCCCGCTCCCGCCTCGCCGACCTTCTCTTGTGTTTGTTTTAACGTACTTCTTTACTGTTGTTCTAACAGAACTCAGGAGAAAGTAGAGATAAAAATATTTACTGACTCAATGAGTGTGTGCTAAGCACTCACTACACACACAGGCCTGGGGGCCACACAGGGACAGAGAGGCACAGAATCGGGAAGCAGGACAGCTTTTTCTCAGGGAGCCGTCACCGCAGCGGGGGCCGGGTGTGCAGGTAAAGCCCTAGGGCCTCGCCGCTCGCTCCTACCACCTGGACGGTCACTGCCCGAAGTCAAGAAACAAACAGACTTGGCAACATTGTTGGATAAATCCCTTGTTACTGTATCTTCTGCTACCTTCTACCTGAAGCTCAGGGACCAAGGCACTGAGAATAACGATATCCCTCGATACTCCCAACCCTCACCAGAGCCAGGAGCTTCAGAGCCTGAGGCCGCCGGGACATTCGCACGTAAGCTTCAGCGGCGATGAGGGCTCTGAGGAAAGACAGGGGCCAAGACAAGGCACTGGACAGGCGAGGCGGGGTGGGGAGGGCGGGGCATCAGGGAGGGCCCCGCCAGCGCCCTGACCACGGGGACCCCCGGGGACAGACTGGACGATTTTCGCACAGGGAGGATGGCGCGCCGTGGTGGAGGGCTGGGAATCGGCTTGGCGTTTTGCAGGACCGCAAGGAAGACAGTGCGGCTGGAGGGGTGAAGAGCAGGACAGTGGTGGCAGGCGGCGCTGGCGCGGACGCCGGGGCCGGGTCACCGAGGCCCCGCAGGCTGTAGCCTCCTGTGCTCTGAGCGACGTGGGAAACCCCGGACGCCCTCCCCGGGGGCGGTCTGAGACCATGGCCCGCGCTGCTGGTGCGGGGCGGACTGCGGGACAGGGGCAGAGCGGGGCGGGGACACCAGTCGGGGGTCGGTGACCCCGGGGAGGGGCCAGTGGCCTGACCTGGCTCTTTTTGGTAGAAATTACCAGGGCAGGCAGGAAGCCTCCCGAGCCGGTGACCTGGTCACACGGAAAGCAGGAGCCCCGCCCTCTGAGACTGAGACACAGAGAGAAGGGCGGGTTAAGCAGGTGGGGGGGGGGCGGATGGGGAAGGAGACAGGCACTGATTTTGGTGAACCTGAGGTTTAGACCCCGGTGGGCATCCGGACGGGGACGCACAGGGGCCGGCGGGCGCGGGAGCACGGGAGTCAGCGGGGGGCCCTGGGCCACAGGTGCAGGACTGAGACGGGTCGCCACGCGGACGTCGGAAGCCTGGCGACGACTTAGGGGTTTGGGAAGAAGGGAGAGAGGAAAGAGGTGGGAGCCCTAAGGCCTAGGTGACCTCACTACGGAGAGGCCAGGCGTGCGAGAAGGCGCCGGCGCGCACCAGAGGCGGGAGGGGGCCGGCCGCGCAGTGAGGGCCGAGGGCGGCCGGGGCGCCCGGTGCGCCAGTGCTGCCGAGGCCCGGCGGGCGCGGGGAGGCGCGCAAGGACCGGTGGTCGGGCCTGGCGGCTGCGGTCCCCGGCTGTCAGCAGAGCGACCGGCAACCACAGCAGCGCAGAGGCGAGTTCAAGGCACGAGGGGAGGGTGGAGAGCAGACGCCCTCTCAGAGGTGTTCCCTCCGCGGGCAAGCGGCACCCAGGGGGACGTGAAGCCCCGTGCGTTTTGGTTCTGCAGCTCGGAGACTGGCTTGTACCCCAACAGGAAAAGCTGAGTAAAAAAAAAATGATGGTGCTGGCCCAGGACTTAGGAGAAGGGGGGTAACCACGGAAGCGACGGGCTGGGCCGGGGAGGGCAGCCTGCAACGCGCGAGTCCGTGCTTCCTCCTGGTCCCCGGCTCCCTGCCGGGGGGACGGGGTCCGCTGCGTCAAAAAGGAAACTTTCAGGAACAAAGGAACAACAATGACGAAGGCTCCCTCAGAACCATGGGTCGCCGTGAACCCCTCATCGGGACAGTAAGGACGGATACCCCCAGAGGCCCCTGGTTCTCGGCTTCTGTTCTCGAGGCGTTTCACCCGTGAGAAATTCTTACCCCAACAGGGTAATTTACTTTGTGAGCATTTTAACACAAACATCTAGCCTCACGATTCTCCCCCTCCTGCCACTCAGAAGTGAAGTGAAATAAACTGCTTAGTAACCAGTTAAACTGGCTGTCTTTTATCTTCTCAGTAGCTACTTACACTCTCCTTCCCCTCATGTTTATCTCCCTTGTCCTATCGTTGGCCGAGACTTTTATCACGAAGACTCTGCAGATAAATCAGCACAGACCTAATTTCAGACAGTAACACCCGAGACTATTTTTACACGCGACGGGAGAGCCAGCTTCCAGTCTCTACTTCCGTCCGTGTCCAGCTCTAAACACCATGGGGGGGGGGAGGCGGAGCCCCAGCGCTTCCTTCATCCTAAACCTCCACGGACATTCTAGGCTCTGCAGGCTTCGACTAGAAAGGATACGAACAACAAAAAGCAGCCACGCGACGTGGAAACAGGTGACCGTGGTAACGGCTGGAAGCAGCGTCTTCCAGTGAGCACCGCTCAGTCCCTGGAAACCGCAGGGACGCGGTCCCCCACGGTGCAGGGGGCGGCAGCCTTCGGAGGGCGGCCCGGGGCTGGGCGGGGACTGGACACCCAGACGGCCCATGTCACGCGCCAAGGACGAGAAGAAATCCGCCCCTCTCAGCAGCGACAGAACTCGGGGCTGCTGTCCCCTTGCTCGTGTTCCCGGTACTAGCGGGCGTCGCGTCCTTCCCCACCCGCCAACTCCCTCGGCACTGCCCATCCCTGCCGCACGGGGCGCCAGCATGTCCACATGCCCTCAGCTCGGGTTTAGTGTGAGAAAAGGCCCAGTCACAACCAGGAGGGAGAAAGGGACAGGCACTTCATCATCACCACCAGCCTGAAAAGCAGCGACTTTAAAGAAAAGCCCCGAGGGGCGCGATGGCCGCGAGGGGCGGTGGCCGGGAGCTTCGGCCACCTGCCGGTCTCTGACACACACCCTAGGGGCGCGTTGTCTCAGGGAAGTCGACGACGCGTCCTTGATTTTCCCACTGCACAGTGACCTGAGTGACTTCAACCGCCCGCAGAGACGACAGAGGGCCCGCGCACCCCTGACCGTGCAGCGGCCAGGGCAGCGGCTCCGGGACCCCGGTTGGCCGGTGAGGAGCACTAAGAAGATGCTCATCGTGAAGACACCGCCGCTTGTTTCAGAACCGCAGTGGTCAGAAAGAGCCGCCTTAAAGACCCCATTGCTGTAACTTATTGGTTCCTTATTTGGCTAAAACAGCTCACCTGGGACAAAATATTCTGTTGGCGAAAACCAGTGAAATTCCAAGTGAAATCCCAAGCGAGCAGCCTTCAAGGTGACGAGGAAAATCAAATAGAGGACGGATACCGTGCCTGTGGGAGAACAGTCAGAAACCATCTGTCACCTTATTTTCACAGGCCCTGTAAAATCTGCCTTTGTCCCTACATTCTCGGGAAAGGCTGGAGTGCCTTCCCTGGTGGTGCCCACGATGGCCCAGAGGGGGTCGAAGGGCAGACACCAGCTTCGAGAGGAGAAGTACCAGGAGAGAGGCAGCGGCAGGAGAGCCGGGGACGGCCTGTGGACACCGTGCCCGGCCGGGCGCGCCCTTCTGCGAGCGCGCACACTGACCCCCAGGGTCTGTCCCGTGGGGCAGTCGCCGAGCACGCCGGCCTGGAGGCCGTGCGAGCTGCGTGAGCTGCGTGAGCTCTGCTGCGGGCCTGGCGGGCGCTGCTTCCAAAAGGGTGTGACTGAGAGGCCGCAGCGCGCAGTGCCAATGCGCCGCATCCTGTGTGTCTGCGGCAGTGGGCGCTGCCGCGAGGCCCCGCGCACAGAGAGACGGCCTGGCCTCGTCCATCCTTCGGCTTGCTGGGGACCCTGGCCGCCTCCTCGGGGACGTGCGACCTCATTGTGTGACGCCCTGGGCTGCCGACCGGGAGGCCAGGCCCATCCCTAGGGCACAGTGAGTCCCGAGCTCTGCTGGGAGCTACTGGCTCTTCGGGGGCGACATCCTTGTCTTTACCTAGCCTGCCAGAGCTTTCAGGGTGGACTCCTTTCGCCAGCTTAAATTAAGGCTGTAAGAGAAGACACAGTCAAATGCTGCTTTGGGAACTTCAGAAATTTCTGAAAACCGGGCTCACAGAGAGAAGCCCGCCCCTCCGAGGAGGCCAGTGCCCCGAGAACGGAGCTGCAGGCAGAAGGGCACAGGCAGGGCGGGCCTCGGGCGCACAGCCCAGGCCACAGGACGGCGTCCGGGCGGGAAGCCGGCAACAGCCCTGGGCTGAGCTCTGACTCGGAAACCGGGGGAAAGACGTTCTGTCGCTGCCCAGCGAGCCCTCAAGCTTCCAGGCTCTGAAGCTGCGAAGCCCTCCCGGCCTCCTCCCGGAGCCTTGTCCGACCCGCCGGGGCCCCACAGCGCGAGGCAAGCAAGGGAGGCTCGCAGCCCCGGAGCGGCCCTCAAAGGGACGGGGCCCTGACATGCTCGCCGACGCTTTCCTGTGTGCGGACTGTACCAGGAAGACCCCGAAGCCAGGCCACGCGGGCGCGGACAGACGGAGCCCGGGCACAGGCGGGGCACGCGGGCCCTCGGCGGCCGCCGCATTTCTGACCTGCGACCCGGGGCTGGAGCGCGGTGCGGCTCACCTAGGATGTTGAACTTGGAGAAGAAGGAGGGCGACTTGAAGTTGAGCAGCGGCAGGAGCAGCCCCATGAGGTAGAAGGGCACCGTCCTGGACTTGTCCCACCACTTTTCGAACTGCTGCCGACCCGTGCCATTGGCGTAGACAGTCCCCGAGCCGTTGTCGGGACGGCCGCTCCCCGGCCCCGGGCAGATCACTGCAACGGAAGAGCGTCGGGTCACAGGGAGCGCGGGGGTAGGGCCAGGAGCGCTCGCCGACACCCACACCTCTCGCCCACGTCCGCCTTTACCACGGGCACTCAGCTTCCCTTTTCTGGAAAAAACCGAGGCTTAATTCAGACATACTAGAAGTCACTTCCCTGTGAATGATTAGGGGCAGAACGTTAGAAGTCTGAGGGGCGACCTTGATGTCTGCTGGGAACTAAGCAGTTACCCCCCGAAACGCCTCCGGCTCCCTCGCCAGAGAGGAGATGCTGGGCTGGATGGCACTTGATCTTACATCCACAACAATGTAAGCATGTCCGCCAGGCCTCCTGTTCGTCCTGATGACAACCCACACCAAGGTCAAAGGACTGGTGTCTTAGAACGATAAACAAAACCTCTGGCTTTGGAATAAACGGCGGGCATCGCAGAAGCGGCTCTGAGGGCACCGCCCGCACCCAGCAGCGGCCGAGCGCTGCGGAGTCCGGGACCCGGCGGCCGCAGTGGCCTCCCGACGCGGGCCACGCTTCAGAGCGGCCCGGCGGCCCAGGGCTCGCCGGGAAACGGGCGCAACATTTGTTTCCCTACCACTGACTGCAAGCGGCCATTTCTTCTGTTAGCAGATGAAGTGCAAATCATTCTCACGGCCTCTGATTCCATGACAGGGCTTTTGCTAATACTTGGCTCTTCCTAAAGAACCCCTAGTGCTGGCGACAAACGCTCATACTAGGCCACAATCCTATGCGTCACTGGTTAAAGGGAAAATGATACATCCACTGCAAGTTCGGTTTTTAATTCTACTCTGTCTTCATTTCTTGGCATATCCCACAAAGCCAGATGCTCGCTTTTCTGTTCCCTCCTCTCTGAGTCAGCATTTGAACATGCATTTTTTTTTCCTTCTGTGCACTCTGGATGGAAGAAAATTGACTTTTTCTTGTGCAATAATTCCAGGGCAAAAAGCACAGGCTGCGGCAGTAAACCGACTGAAAAATGGACCAGGGCTTGGTCTCTTGGTTACACAACCGTGCTGGTCCTGGCTCCCCTTCGCCGCGGTTTCTGCACCCCAGGAGTGTGGACGTCAGCGCCTCCCGGCAGAGGTGCTGCGAGGCGCTCAGAGCGCCGCCCGTGGGCTCCGGCTGCGGCCCTTCCAGGAACGGAGGACTGCGCCACGTTCGCACTGTGTGACACCGCGCTTGGACTGCGCGGGAGGAGAACCAACGGGCGCTGCAGCAGCGCCAGCCACCCCTGTGCAGGGCGCGCTGGCGTGGCTGTGCCGCGCCCCAGGCCCTCGGCGCGACGGGGACGTCCGGGAACCCGACCGTGGGCCGACTCCCGGCCGACGAGACCCTATGAGATGCGGACCGACTACTTCCATGAGTTCATGTCAGGACAGCTATGGTGAAAGGCATTTCTCTTTTAACACAGGAATGCCATTTGGTCCTGTGACAATCCTGACATGAGACATGGAATGCAAGAGACATTTTAAAATCACACTAAAGTGTTTTTGCACAATTACTCAAAGATGCGTGTTTGTGTCCACAGACATAAAAGCCAGCACTTCACTCACTCGTTTTCCAGCGCTAACGAAAGACGGGCAAACAGTTAATCAGGGGCAGGGCGAGACACCCAACAGCAAACACTGGAACACACGCTGCCCGGGGCGGGGGGGGCGGTTTCTGCCTGCTCGCGGGGCCCAGAGCCAGGAACGCCCCTGACACCGGCAGGCTCCCGGAACACACATCACGCGAGTTGTTCTCTTAGTGATCAACGCGCGTCTCCACCAAAATGATGTCAAGCTGGTGTCTCTGCAACCTACACACATGTGCACACACACGCACACACATGCAAGCTTTGGGCACGGGCAGGGCTTACAGCGTAACTTCACAGTGGGACTGAACGAGGCCACACGAACTTCCACGCCCGCCCTCCCCCGCCCCCCCGTGACTGCCACCCCGGACGCGCCCACAGGCCCCAGGCTTTTGTGTGTAATAGTTAATGCAAGAAACTTTCCTACGGAATGAAGAGCTGTTTAGCCAAATCTTCAACTTATCTGTCCATATTTATTAACCTCTGTTCATTGTTAGGAAATTAATTATTCTAACGATACAGATTTGTGTATGCTATACATTAGTAACTAAAACAATAACTGTCTAAAACTAAGTTAAGAAACTGAGAACGATGCTTCTAGACCAAAACAATCTGCAGTGATATAGGTTCTTGAAAATATGTATTGATTACTCATGGGCAAATATGGATACTATAAATTCATGAGCTACAGCTGTGAATTGTATAATATGAAGTAAATATTGTTTTGCTTACATTACCACCACCTTTGGTGGAGCTGGTTTTTCATTTTTTTAAACACACTGACTGCCAACAATTTAATAGCAGCCCAGTTAACACAGTGATAATGATTTCGTGTGAACCACTGACCTAAAACAAAGTCACAGGCTCCTTTCTGAAGCAAGGTGTGGGGAATAAGAAAACAAGCTGAACTTTACTCTCCAAATTACTTACCGGGGTTGCTATCATTGGTACTCAATACAGCATCTGTGTCATTAATGTGATGGATAAAATCTAAAAATTAAAGAAAAAATACAGTTTACCACGGAATGAAAGATGCTGAATCGATCACCCACTGAAGTGTTTTATTTGTCACGACCCTCCAGGACCTGCCGTGTGGCAACACCGGTGAGTCGGCCGAGCCCAGCCTCGCCGTCGCGGGCTCCCTGGCTCCCTGCGCTCACAAAGGCGAGGCCTTCAGCGCCACGCCCCCGGCGGGACGTTTTCACTCGAGTGAGGGTTTTAAAAAACCTGCCCGCAGAGTGGATTTAGTTAAAAAGCACTAGAATAAAGACACTGTGCGTTTTTTCCCTGTACTCCCACAAATGTATGTAAGTACAGTTACCCCTTAGGTAAAGTTCTGAAGTCTGTAATAGGGGGACACCAACCCTTACAATGGCTGAATTTATCTGGAAAATCATTTAAAGTTTTTACAAGGTATAGGTGTGCTTGTACAGACCCAAGGCGGCCCCGGACTACGGTTCACAAGCACACTCAGACACGTGCTGGTGCCTGCGCGTCTACCGCTCAGCAGTGAGAGGGGACGGGTAAAGGATGCGGTTTCCTGCTGGCCTGAGAGAACCTACTTTGTTCTGTTTAACGTTAACTTTTATAACCTTAGTAATGATGACTAAACATGTTTGATTAAAACTTCAGTGAGATAGAAAAAATGATGGGTCAGACTTTAAGGTCATTCGCTCGTTGAACGTGTGAATGATTCACCTCCATTGTACGCTCGTCAGGATAGAACAAAAGGAGGCGTGGAAGTGCTCTGGCCTTTTCCAGCCCCTCCAAGGGTTACCAGTGATCTGAGGTTAGAACTTCCGAACCATTCCGTGGTCCCGGACGCCGGGCTCACACCAGGCCAGCGGCCAGGGAGCTCCTGCAACCGAGTGCACCGGGTGCACAGCGTCGCCCCAAACCCACGTGCGCCCGGGACCCTGGGCCGCGGCCTTATTTGGAAATAGAGTCATGGCAGGTACAATCCAGGTGAGACCAGGTCGCCCTGGATGAGGGTGGGCCTGAAGTTCCGTGACTGGAGTCCTTTGTAAGAACAGGAACCTTTGGGACAGATGCACAGAGAGAAGACGGTCCCGTGGAGATGGAGGCAGACACCGGAGGGACGGGGGTCACAGGCCAAGGGCGGCTGAGGGTGCACTGCCAGCGCTCGCCCACCGGGAGCTGGAGGCGGCGGGCAGGGCTCGGGCTTCTGGGGGCAGAGCCCGGCTGACACTGTGACTTTGTGCTTCTGGTCCCCAGGGCCGCCAGAGAGTAACTCCTCTCGCTGTGAGCCAGCAGGTGCCTGGCACCCGGGCTCGACAAGGACAGGGCAAGGGAGGAAAATGCCAGGCAGCATCTCCCACGGGAGCAGGCAAATGCTCTACACAAAACAGTAGCCCTGCTCCTCCCAAAACAAACTGAATCCAGTAAGAAATTTAGAAACTACATATCAGGACTAACAAATTAATCTAAGTCTTTCCAGAATATAAGAATGATATACATATTACAAAATGTATTCATGTAATGTGTTATATTAACAATTTGAAGGAGAAAACCTTATGACCATTTTAAGAGATGGAGATTACTTGATAAAAGACAGCACACATTAGTAAAAATGCTTAAGAAAACAATAGGCAAGAACATTTTCAAATGACTAAAGGCTGCAACCAACATCCTATAATAAGTTCCATAAATAATATACTTACCACGTAAGCTCTGTCACCCTACTGTCTCCTAATTTCGATCCTAATATTTTGAAAATAAGTGACTGAAGTTTGTTTCCCCAAGAGTCTACACGTCAAATTCTTCAGTAACAAACACCAATGAACTTCATAAATTCTATTATACTAAAATTTTGTGGTTAAGATCAAAACAATACTTGAAATATCTGCTGGAACTTAGGAATATTTTATATTAATTAGAGAATCTGAAGGAATATTATTTATTCAAAAATTAGTTTTTGGAAAGAAACATACACATTAAATCTGAGATTGTAGCCATAGAAGACAAACCGAATCAAGTATATTTTTCAGAATTACAAACAGTGCTTTTCACTTGATTTCTCCCCAGTCCAGAACCTGAGGCTGAAACGAAAACGTCACAGGAATTACCATCCCCGAGAGCAACTGTGTGAAAACACAGGACATGGATACTTACTAAAAATAAACTCTCCCGCATTGAAAAGGAAGTTAGACATAAGCACCCAGTACACAACCATGGCCCCAACGAGAGACACCAGGGAGAAGAGGAGGCTGGACCACTGGCCGAAGGCGCCGAAGTAGTGTCTGCAGACGTCGGGGAACTCCCAGGCCGCGGCGTCCACGGAGGCTGCGGACGAGCAGAGGGAAGAGAGCACAAGCAGGCGTCAGTCACACACTCCAGAGCCATGAACTGCTTTCCCAAATCCACTCAAGCAGTCAGAGATTCCGGGTATTCCACCCGTAGGTATTAGACCACATTAGGAAGCAGCAGAAATGAAAACATGATAGAACAAACACAGGAAAAGAAGTGTATGTCAACAGAGGTACAACAAATGAAACAGGAGAGATCATCTGAGGCACGGATTCTAGTCGAATAAAGTTTGGTAACGAATAAAGGCAAGTGATAAGCCAAGGCCAGGCACAATCACCGGCAACGGGACAGGAGCTGTTGCCGGATAATATTTGGGAATATTATCTAATGACATGGGGAAAGTTCCCCTGAGTCATTCTGTCTACCACACACGCCAAGTTTCAGACAACAGAGTTTAAAAATCAAGTAGCAGAAAAGTTAGAAGACTGTAAAACAGAACCTGAAAGTTTATCCTTTTTCTATCAACTGAATTAGGGTGGAAGAGATAGGCAGATATAAACAAGCTCATGTAATACAAGAGCCATTCAAACACTGAATGGGAGAAAACCAGAGCTAACAGGTAAGGGGCCTGTGCCTGTGTCGCATGAGAGCTCGGCAGGCCGGCAAAGGCGCCGGGGACGGGAGGTGGCAGGGAAGGGACGGGGCAAATGATCGAGAGGAAACGCGCCACCGCTCGGCAGGGACAGGAGAAACCTGGACAACGCCTGGCCTGTGGACCCGTATACTCACTCAGATTTGGTTAAGTGATGTGTGTCCATTCGGGCCCTAAACCACTTCAAAACACTCTAAGAAGGTATTTCCCTGATCCAGGTCTTAAAGAGATCAGTGGGGGGAAAAGTGTGTAATTTTGAGAATTCATTACAAAGGACACATTGCTGACATTTCCTATTTTTCTAGGTATCATGTCTTCTTTTAGGAGATTCCAACATTTTGGCCTTTTGGTGGGAATAGGTCAAAACAGTCACCATCGACTGACCAAGAATCTCAGACCTCTCAATATAGCTCTTGCACAGACCTTATTTTTAAAACAGGACTCTAAACCTGTCCTTATAAGGAAATGAACAGCACAGTGAGTGCCTTCTGCCAAGAACTCCAGCCGGCCCGGACTTCAGGGCAGCCCCGATCGCCAGGGGGGAGAGAGGCGCGTCTTCGGGCACAAACTGGAGGGCCGCCCGGCAGGCAGAAGGCACGGGTCTGCGACCCGCCGCAACGGGGACGCCCAGAAGAGCGGGCGCGCCCCCCGGCAGAGCCTTACTTATCATGGTGCACGACTTCACGACTCTGTAGCAGCAGTACAGCGTCAGGAGGCCCATGAGCACGATGACACAGATGCCCGTGGTGAATCCAGCCTGTGTGAAGACAGGAGCACAGGACAGCGCGCGTCAGCACGTGGGACAAACACACTCGCTGCCACGTTACGCTGCCCTAAATAGTTACGATAAAACCCGACACACCATCACGATGAAACCATTATACTTAGTGTGCAGCCAAATATAAGAATTTTCTTTAAAAAATTATGCAGATTTATTAAGACCTCTACTGTATGTGTCCGTGAGTTTCAGCTCTGTATCCCGCACGAGGGTGAAATCGTGCGGTCTGACTGCGGGGTGGACACACACCACATGGGTCACAGGTCAGAGAGGTGTGCACTTGAAACCTAGGTGGCCCTATTAACCAGTGTCGTCCCGATACGTTTACTAAAAATTAGAAACAGACAAACTCCAAAGTCATTGGGAAAACAAACAAACAAACAAACAAACCCACCTCTGTTGTAAAACTTACAACATGAAAAGAAAAAAATTCAGGCTAAAATTAGGCCAAAAAATGCAATTACCTGTTTTATGCCCCAAGGGATGCTTAGTATAGACGTTCCCATCATGGTGTTCCAGATCATAAAGCTGAAAGACAGAGGAACAGCAGTAAATTGCGACGCTTCAAGCCTCCCATGTTTTAATTAAGACACAACTCAGGCAGCCGGTGACGTGCATCTGCCCGGCCCGGCCCCCCAGATGCGGCTCACATGGTCACCACGCTGGCGTTCTTCCCGCACCCCGCCGAGGAGCTCGGGAGCTTGTAGGCGGAGCCAAGGGGGCTGTACACGTAGCACTCCTCGGGGGCAGGGACCACGTGGTCCGGGGCCACCTGGTGGGATGAAACAGAAACGTGAGCACCAGGAACCGTGCAAAACAGGGTGTCTTCTCGACACCAGAGCACCGGGTGCTCCGCACACTCCTCCATGTCATGAGCAGTAACGGCATGCGTCCCTGAGTGACAAGTACCAAAACCCCCTTCAAACGCAGTGAAGACCTAAAGGAGCAAGACCCTAAGGACCCCTCCCAACAAACTGTCCCTCTGAAATGAGGAGGAGTTCTGGGAATGCGTGTCTGTCAGGAGAGCTCTCTCTCCAGGTTTATGGGGAAGGAGGCAGGGGAGCCGGTGAAGACGGCCCGGGGGCTTCTGGGTGGAGGAGACTGGGCTGCGTCGAGGGGCAGTTCAAGAGCCCAGTGGCCACGGACAACGGTGAGTGGCTGGGTTTTGCAGAGGCAGGCGGGCAGGACACGCGCCCTGAGGGGGGGCTGGGCCGTCGGTAGAAGAAAGACAGGAAGAGTATAAACCAAGACTGTCCACGCGCTTCAGCAGCTGAAGAAAAAGGTGAGCTACAGGGACGTAAGGGAAAGACAAAGCCAGGATTCTGAAAGATGGAGGACGGAAACCGAAGGGGAGGAGCCCCAGAGAGGCCGAACAGACACAGAGGGCCGCGACCAGGCTGGCGCCGCGGCTCGGACTCCCAGAGCCGCCTCCCTTCCGCGCAGCCCCCCGCCCCGCCCCGCCCCCGCGTTGGAGGGAAAACGCAGTTTCCTGAGGGATTCTGCCCGTCTCCCTGGCAGCGGTCCTTTGAAAACCTCGGGATCCTCCGGGAACTACGTGGATGTGCACACACACTCATTAAGAATGGCCGTGGCACACGGTTCGTTTTAGATCGCTGTGTGCAGGCTCTGGCGTACACGAGAGCCACCGCACAGCCGGCTGACAGGCGGCTGCCACGCCGCGCGCTGCACTCAGCACACGGCCTGGCCCAGACCGGCCGCGGCGCTGCTCCGACCTGCTCCCTGAGCCCAGACGGTAGGAGGGCTGAGCTACACCTGCAGGCACTGGGCTCCTTCTAGCCACCCCCGCCCCCCCGCCCCCTCCTCCCAGGCTCACATGCTTCCAGCAGGAAACTGCAGCTTTATCACGACTATGAAGGTGCAGGCCCAGGGGAGGGGGAAGCGCAAAAACTGGGGGAGAGTGTCGTCCCATCCAGGGTACTTGCAAGTCCCTCCTCTGTGTACAAAAGCAGCTCTTACTGCTTCACGATGCTCAAAAAGAGGGCCCTACGAGACTGAGCGACAGGCCCGATCCCTGCCCCCTTAGAAAACCCAGAAAGCGGCTGGTCCCTCCTCCCATTTTGTTACAACCTATAAGAAAGTCGTTCTCTCTCCTCCCAGAATGTCTGCCTTTTTCTTTAAGCTTCTGAGTTTCTGAATCTCTCATAGTGGTAATTCTTATAAGGAACCACATTAACTGGAATAACTATTTTTGATCCCAAAATGATGATACGGATTTTAGAAGATTAAGAGTCAACACACCGCGGCCCATGCATTCGGCCTTCCCTCTGCCGTTTCCCAGCCCCTTTGCTGGGGACAACTTTTGCGTGGGTAACGATCTAACGCAGAGGTAAGGGCACGTGACGGCGTGGGTTCCCACCGCCTGGGTGTCTGGCAGCTGCTCTCTGGCCTGGGTTTTTGATCTGGGAAAGGACACACTGAATAGGGAAATATCCCACATACGTATGCATAGATTTGTTTCCCACCCCTGTAGAAAATTTCTGCACACATTTTCCCCTTGTAGCTTCAAACTTAAAAATCAAACAGACTAACCAGACCCTGTTACTATTTCTATTCATCGATGACTGAGCCACTTCAAAAGCGGTTACCCTCCTCCACGCGTTCGGCATCGGGGTTAGCGGAACCTAACCCAGCGGCCCTCCGGCTGCTGCCGCCAACGCGGCGGCATTGTTCCCACTGCCGGCTGAGCACGAAGGGACTAGCCTGAGATGCAGGACGCGCATCAATTCATGGCTGCCCTTGACTTTTCAGGACGCCACCCTGGGGACGGGACCAGCAGGAACTTCAACCGCCGGGAGCTGCCCTGCCCCTGCGGCCGCTGTCCCTTTCAGCTGCACCTTGGCCTGCGCGCGGCGCCTCGCCCCTTACCAGCGCCTTGTCCGCGGGAGCCGTGAGCCGGCTGTAGTACTGCATCCTCTTGTTCATGGCGGAGGCCTGGTCGCTGACCCTCTGCATGACGTCATCTGCACCGACGATGTTTGTGGGTTCTATGCAGAAAGGCCTAGAGGAGGGAACACATGCTTGACAGAGAGCATTCAGCCGTCGAAGGAAGGAAGTTCTTGTCCTCCCTTACAGAGAGGATGCTCCAAGGCAGGACATTCGCGTCGCACGTAGCACACAAGATGGCACAAGGGAAGTACTGTCCCATCTGCAGAATAAAGCTCTTTACTATTACTTTAAGCAGACTTTTTTTTAAAACTTAAGAAATTTAGCAACAGAGGAGACAGAACAGAAAGAGCTTCAATTAGTTATTAAAAAGAAATATAGCAGCTGTCAATTTTCAACAATGACACTTAGGCACAGCTTGGAATATTCTCTCAAAAAGCTTTTGGCACGAAATCAGAGAAACCACAGACCAGAATGTTCCTGTGCTAAAGAGTCTGCCCTCCTTCCTGGGCTGTAGTTACTTCCGATGACAAAGGGGGTTCCTGTTTCTGAGCCCGCGTGCTGAGGGCCGTCATCTCGACGGTCTCCCTGGTGGGGTTTAGCCCTGAGGACTGTCCCGGGGACATCAAGACGCCTCGTCTCATTTTGGCCACGGCCTCACTGTTCTCGGAATTCGGAAACAGCCCTGTTACGCTAGCATATGCCACCTTCGCACCCCCGTGTCCCAGCAGGCGAAGGTGTGGCCTGCCTTCTACCAGTCATTTTCTTTCTGTCGTTCACGAAGCTCCCTCTCTCTGCTAAGCCTCTCCCGTATCCGAAACGGACAGATCCGCAGAGGTGCATGAAAGCACAGCCTTCCTCTGCGGGTCCTCAGGCCCCCTGAAGTCACGGAGGATCCGGCACCCCCCACCAGAAGCAAGTTGCCGTTTCAGGTTAGGCACAGATCCGAAGGAGGAAGGGGAGAAAGGCCCGGACGTGTATCGCTGGTTCCATGTTTCTTTACAGGCAACGTTTATTAAAGTACGGCCATCAGTTCTGGAGATACCGTTAGTCTAACCCTGTGGGAAGCACTTGAAAAACCACGTGACAGAAATTTTAGTTTCTGCCCTTTTCCAGCTCTGTGATACTAGAGAAGAGGTAGCACAATGGTAAATTTAGTCCTGTCCCCTAGCTGGCGCACGGGACCTTTGAACCTTTATTTATTCTCCGCTCTAGCACTTAAACTCGGTGGGCACTCTGCAGTCTGACCCGACAGAGGTCTGAGGAGGGCCCTTGGAAGAGCAGAGACGCGTGGAGAGGGACCGACGTGACCTGCTGCCTAACTAAGCACGGAAGTGCCAGGTTAATCACGTGGAGCCAATAACCCTCCAGCGGACACGGGCGGGGAAGGGCCAGCGGCGGCATGAGCTACCCCTGCTTCGGACGGAGGGGCCCGAGACAGCGGCGGGGCTCCCGAACCCCTCGGCTCCTCCGTGCCGTGCACACCCCCAGCGACACTCGGCGGTGCTGAGAGGCAGCGCCAGACCCTGGTGGTCACACCGGGGGGGCCAGCCTCACCGGGGCTCCGCCTTCCTGTGCTGCCACGGGGACACCCCACGAAGCTCAGGTGGCAGTGATGGCGTCAGCGCCCACGTGGCGCCGAGCGAGCAGCGGATCCCGAAAGACCAAAAGGACGAAGAGGTGCGGCAGCGGCGGAAGGAGACGGACACTCTGCTCGCTGCCCGGCCTGAAAGTCCGGCCGCGTTGCTCCCCGGCACCCGGGGACCGAGGGCCAGCAAGGAGGCGGCCGCCGGCGACGCAGCGGCAGCTGTGCCGGCTTCGCGGGCTCGGGCGCCTGAGCGCAGGACGCTTTCCTTTCCCGGCAGTTTCCATCGGGCTGCCGTGCGCCTGTTCAAACCAATGCTTGGGACTCGTTTCAAATCAGACTCTCCCGAAAAACATACAACTCAGCACATTTTCACCGAATCTTTGGAAACGTCCTTAAGGCTTCATCTGAGAAAGCAAATATATACATTATATTTCTAAATTGGACTTCGGGTGGATCCGAAGACACCTACTAGGTCAATAGGGCTCTACAGAGAACAAGATTCAGAAGCGACGCCCTGACACGTGGGCTCCACCCTCCGGAGGGCCTCCCAGGCCACCGGCCAACGCCGCCTCTGCGGGAGGGCGGCTCGGGGTCCCGCAGGGAAAGGGGGCTGTGCTCCTCGTGGAGAAGTTATAGTTCCCACATCACCAGTGTTTATGGTCACGCTACGGGAAAAAGGCTTTTAACGTTCAGCGACATTTTTTAAATATTTTAAAATGTGATTCCAAACCCCCATATTTTCGCGTAACGTACTTAGAAACAAAGAAACCTTATTCCTACTCAAAGCCTTTTTTAGGTTCCACTGCTTAAGTCCCTGAACATTTTTTGGCTTTTCCACACATCTCCGCCCTCCTGCTGGCCAGCTCCGCCCCTCAAGTCCCGGAACAATTCCATGCCTCTCAGCAGGTTCGTCCTCAGCACGAAGGCTCCTGGCTCCAAACCGTCCTGCTCACCACACACCCGAGGGCCGAAGCACTCACGCACCTGCCAGACTGGGCAGTTTGTTAAAAAAAGAGTAAGAAGCAAATCAGGTATTCAAAGAATATCATGCAAATAAACATTCAAAACACTGAACCCGCTGTGCTGGCTTCCGCCTGCCCGGGGAAGCTGCGCGTGTGCGGCGGCTTCCCGGCACAGACGAGAGAAGCAGCCCGAGGACCTCTGGGCGCCCACGGGGCTCTCGGGCCTGACGCGGCCCGCGGGCTGGGCCCACCCCGGGCCCGACCCCTGCTAGGGCTCATTCTCTCACACTGGCTCTCGAAGCCCTTTGTGTGCCAAGCACGTATGAAGCATTGCACGAAACTCCTAGTGATGACGAGGGTGCCAGTCTGCTGGAGGGGGCGGGTAAGTGAGCAGTTCCAATCGCGATAGAGAATGAGAGAGAGGGAGCGGGGGAGAGAGAGAGAAGAGGGGAGAGGGAGAGGAGGAGGGGGGAGCTACAAGGGGGGAAGGGCAGAGAGGCTGTGCGGCACCGGGCTTGGGGGCTTCATCCCATGACGTAACCTGCTGTGCGTGCTGACGGCACCCAAACCGTGACCTGCAGCCTGAACTCCTGGACCACATCCCCGCTGCTCCCTGCCACCGCCACCACCTGTGCTCTCGGGCTCCCTCGCCCTCCCCACTGACCTCGCCAGCTCTGGCGCAGGACAGGCAGCGCGGACGGCAGGGCCCCCCACCCCCCGTTTCTTGCGGCAGGTGGCAGCCAGAGGCTCCGAGGCCCCGAGCGCCTGCGCGCCTGCTCCCCATGGCTTTGCCCCACGGGGCTCCCTTCCCAAGGCGTCGCTGGGCTCTCCTCGTCTCCCTCCAGCACCTCGCCCTCCTCGTTTCCTAGACGCCTTCGCTGCCCCGCATCACCTCCTGGGCACTCAAGCTACCCAGCGCCCCACGGGCTTCTTACGCACTCACTGCTGACCACGCGGGGGAACGGAAGCTCCCCGGCGGCGGGGATTTCTGTCAGAGTGGTCGCTGCCACACCCCCGGGGCCTAGAAGATACTGTGCCTGGCAAAGCGCAGGGGTGCGGTGACAGAGGGTGACTAATTAAAATGGGGCGAATAGCATGGCATGCCACTTTAAGAGAAGCAGTCTGTCCTCAGAAGGCTGTAGACTCACACGGAAACTGGGAAAGCAGCACAGAGCACCGCCCCGTGTTCCTCTCCCAGGACCCCCGCGCAAGACGTCTTATAACCGGGGTGTGGGCGTCAGAACCGGCATTATTTTACTACGTTAATGACAAATTATGGGGACAACGCTTTCCATGTTTCTGTAAGTTTAAAATTTTAAAAATAAATACTTAGAGGAGAAATAATAGAAAGAGAGATCAAAGTATCGAACACCATGCAAAGTGAGAAGCAGCAACTTATAAGAAAATCGGTCTAGTGTGGTGTCCTCCAGCCACCGAAAGGCGGTTTCCAGAGGCAGAGAGGGACTGTCCAGAGGAGCCGGGGCCGAGCAGCGTGAGCAGCTCAGCGGGGCGGTTGGGCAAAGGGCTGTCTGGATCGGGTTCTGGAGGAAACCACCGCATATGGCAAGTGTACCCAACCCTTGCAAGGAGTGCTCTGTAAAAAGGAATGAGCGAAAGCAGTGGTAGCTGAAAGGGTACGTGTGAATCCCTCTGGAAAGCGTAAGGGCGTTGAAAAGATAAACATCACCGATAGCCCCACATCCAGGCTCCGTAAGGACATTCTGCCAACTGCAGCCTCCGGCAGAGGCGGGCAGCAGGGAGCGGAGGGAGGGGCCTCACCCCCGCGGTGAGGGCGGCAGGCGGCCTGGCCCGGGGCGCCGTCTGGTCACACGGGGCACGCATGCGCGCGCCCCGGGCGGGCACAGCCCCAGGGCTGAGCCCGCTCGGGGACCCAGGAGACGCACGCAGGGGTGTTGGCAGGAGCGTCATTTGTGAGCTCTCCACGCTGGACACGTGCCACACACCCGGCCGCTGGAGAGCGATCGGCGAAGGGCAGGCGCCCACAGAATCCAACAACGGGAACCGCCACAGGCACACACAACTGGGACGGCATTCACGGTGCGGAAACAGAACTCACAGAATGATACGTGCGGTGTGATCAGAGGTAAAGCAGAGCGGGCGCGCAGGGCGGCGTGGACAGGAACTCCTTTCCGAAGTGAGGAAACGAGCACGCAGGTGCCAGAAGCGCGGCTGCCGGGCGCGCGGGGCGGGTCCGCGGGACGTCCGCGGAAGGACCGCGGGGGTGGCGGGGGGCGCTGTCCCCAGACCGCGGTGTGGCCCGCGTGGGTGCTGGCTTTATCATTACGTAAAAGCTGTACCTATGCAATAGGCACTCTTCTGTACCTATGAAACAGCACGCGATAAGATTTAAACACAGATCGTTAACACGTTCTTTCCAAATTAGCAACGAGCTCAAGAGCAACCATACCACCTTCGGTATCGTACACAAATTTGCTCCTTGTCTTGTAGCAAAACACCATGACTGGCTCGCCATAACTACAACCACCTCCTCTTCCGGCAGAGACACCTGTTTCGAGTTTGCTGACCCGGCTCGGGGCGCGGCTG